TCATTTTCTCGTTTGAAGGATGAATTTCAGATGCAATTTGTGAAACAGGATAGATCAAGTTTGTCCTGGCGTCAGATTCTGACAGTGAGAAGGCAGCTCAAAAACATTTTATTATCTATTATTTAGCCCACTTTCTGTACGACATGAGAATGTGAAAAAGCCCACTTTCTGTACGACATGAGAATGTGAAAAGGCCGTAGCTGACACTGTGGACACTGCACTGTATAGGCCTACCTGGTGTCAAGCAACGTGAATGATGGAAGTCGGCATGTTGCCTAAATGCAAAAAAATGTCTTAAAAAACAGAATCATAAATCATACATATGAATGATATAAGCCATGATTACAGTAGTCTGTGCCTAATGGTGTTGCAAGGTTGATTCATTTGAAAGTGCGAGTTATCAGTAGGCTATAGGGCCTAGGCTATAACAAGAGCGGATTAGTCTCATTGCATGTTTTATATAGTGGCTTCAACTAATGTGTGTTTGTTTTTGCAGATATAGCCTTCTTGTTTTCAGTATTTAGGCTATAGAAGGAAGTGGTGTTATTGATGTGTAATGGTCGCCATCCAAATAACATTCACATTAGTGACATCAGCAGACATAGGCTAAGTATAGGCTACGTATTATTGTAGATTGGGAGTTTTGGGTCACTGGGGCCATTTGATATGATCGCTTTTTAAATGACGGATAATTATTTCACATCAGGTAAGTAGACCTTTGGCTTATGCACTAGCCTTTCAGATGGTGTCAGAATCCATATTTCTGATCGAGTATTTAGCAGCCAGCAATTTACCAGAGCCTTCGTTAGAACCTTCGTTATTAATGTGGCTATTAAAAACCTTCACACATCTACAAGTGATCCTGACCACTCGTTAGATGCTTTTTTGCTTTTGCCCTTCCGCGTCACTTTATTCACAGCAGATCAGCGCTAAACATAGAATCAAGATGTTTAGGCTAAGTGTCTGACTGTGACCGCCAAAAAATTCTCAACGAAGTTGACTACAAATACAAAGTTTCCAAAGTAGGCAATTGTTTTGCAATTGTTACAAACAAGTGAAGGATCAAATTATGCTTCAAATGAAAACCGATACGACGGCATTAAAATATACATAGGCTACATGGACCTATAGGCTATTACAACAATATTGAAATAAATGTCATGTTCAATCAATTTAGTTCTATTTTGCGACTAGGCTACCTGTAATTTTTGCCTCAATGTGTTTGATAATGTGTGACCAATCTGTGATTTGGTGCATTATTATTAGGTAAGCATAATAAGCCGCCTCAATAGCTTATTAGCAGCCATAGGTGGTAATGTCTCTATAGGAGCTGATCAGTCGTCAGTATTGTGGAATAATTTTAATGTTAAGGTAAGATTTGAATGGAGAAAGTTGATCCGAGAGCAGCGTTACTTTTCTTTCGATCTCATCAGTATCGACACATGGTCTAACTAAGTGAACGTTAAACGTGCTAGTTTGGGAAACACTTAAAACGTTGGCTCGTAAATAACGATGCATCTGGTACTATCATCGTAATGGTTAAGTTACATCGCAACTGGGAAACGAGGACCAGGCTAAGTAACTTAATAACAAACCCAAGCCATGGGGCTTTGATGATTGATCGTTTCCCAATCCTTAAGCGTGGCTAAAAAAACGCTTTAGCCCCTGTCCTGCCTATAGCAGCGCTAGGTTAGATAAGCGGGTCACAAGGTCCCCAGCACTCCCCATACGCACAGCATGATTGTTTGGGAAAGTAATCGATTGATATATGAGGTCTAGTACCTCATAACCTAATATTCACTGACTCGGAGCAAGTTGGAGTGGAGGAAACATTACCGGAACCACTAAAGATTAACAATACCAACAACGTCGTCAGCCCACTGGGCACACACTGGTTGAATCAACGTTATTTCCACCTCATTTCAATGAAATTATGTTGAAACAACGCTGAATAGACGTTGAATTGACGTCTATGCCCAGTGGGACCTGCCTTGTTCAAGAAGACAGGTGCGCTTTCCTGCGCACATTGATATTTTATCCCTGGTGCTGCTGCTTTATTCTGTCACCTCAGTGATCATGGTAAATTGTCAAAACACAAGATCTTTAAATCCTTGCGTTTGTAGGCCTTATAAAAATGAGAAGGTTTGTGTTCAGGCACAGACTCCTATGCAATATATAGGCCTATCATAGCCTTTATCACAAAAAACGCCGAGCTATGTTGAATAAAATAAATAATCAATTGACACCAGATAGAATGCAGTGTTAATCCAATAGGCCTATTTGACGAATATAGCCACTCTAATATATATATATATACATACACATTTCAGCATGTGCCATAAAGGCCTGCAATGCAAGTTTGAATAGAAATGTCTTCCCCTAGCTCCAAATGAGCTCTGTGAATAGCCTGCCTGTATAGACCTATTTGTGTGTAGAAGTGCTAATGTAGGCCTATAGGCTATTCATAGTAAAACCCGTACATTTTAACAGATCCGGTTCTTCGTTATAACATTTATTTAATTTCGTTTAATATAAGGATCTGCCGTTCAACTCAAAAGATTGGCTTGTTTAAATCAAAAGCGTGAAATATTAATAAAAGGAGACCAAGTCATAGCCTAATGAGGGGACTGTCCTGCCTATTGAGGCAAGGCGGAGGGAGAAAGTGCGCCAAATTTGTTTGCAGCGGATCAAGGCTCACCGCCTTCACTGCACGTTATTTATCTTAATTCCAATTTGAAAAGATATAATTATCTAGTTTGAACAGGACTGCTATCAAATCCTTCTTTAGGCAGGGTAGGGAAAAGCTCGAGTGGATTGCGCGCTCTGAGCCGCTCGGTGTTGCCCGAGATAGGAGTAATGAAGTTGTGGAGTCCGGAGATACAAAGGGCATTAACCTCATTAGCATGAAACCTTTTCTTCTAACTATTGTGGGACCCTTTCAGCCCTCTAATCCCCCTATTTCAAAGCTGGGTTTGTAATAAAGCTTTTAGGGTTTTTTCAAAGCTAATGGTATTCTCTGAAGATTTTTATTGCTGTTATAGTCCACGGGCCTATTTAAATTGCCCATCCATATAGTTTGCATGTAGGCCTAGCCCCCCACACCACCCCCTCCGAAAAGCTCATTTTCAAGCTGTGAAACAATTATAGAAATAAACACTACACCTCACATCATAAAATGTGCATAGTGGACTTGACACATTTCGGAGATAACTAGTGTAAATATTTTTCCAATGTGCATTGTTATTTTTGAGTCATTTATAATGAAAGATGTGGGTAGGCTATATAAAGGTCTTATATAGATGTAAAAACAAAAATTTAAAATAACATGCTTTTCTTTTTGCACACACAAGCACAATAGGCTACACATAAATGAGAAAAGAGTAGCCTATGCATGGTTTGATGCTGTTTTGTTTATGATCCATTTGTGGGAAGAGCGTGTGTATGTGTATACCCGTGGCTGTACGAGACAAGATTTTAAACAAAGATCCCATTTTGCTGCACATTGCAACCTTCTCTTATCGCTTCTTGAGGGGTAGTCAGATTGTATTAAATTATGTCCAACCAAACCCCCTTGGATCCACGGATTAACAGATTAACGTGGACCACTGGGCAATGCATCCCCTTTCCCCCTCATATTACTCCCATGATAATTGCCCAAACTGATTTGCACTTTCACAAAAGCTAGTAGGACTCTTTGTAGCCTAAGCAGACCAGACGCTGCCCCTCTCGGAAAAACAACCATGCACTTGCCACAGATTTTTTTTTTGTTGCGTTCTCGTAATAGCATGATTTATAAAGCATGATTTATAAATTACTTTTAACAAGCCTCCACATTGTCTGGATTACTTCTGAAATGAGTCATAGGCCTACCTCAAGTGTAGGCTAGTTGTGAGACTGGTTTGACCAAAATCAAGATATAGGCTATGAAGCGGGTGATTGGTGACAGCGGGTATAAAATGTCAAGATATGAAAGCTGATCGTAAATCAAAACCATATAGGCCTACTTTTACTCTGCGCGCAACATATTGATAAAACTTTATTGACAAAATATTGACAATTACATACTTCTTGGAAGTATACTTTGTGTTAAAATTGTAGCAAACTTAACACAAACACAAAATTATTTACATTCTGGTAAAAGAGGGTTTAACAGAAACATTAACTTTTTATCTCTGTACATGGAAACGCTCAGTGCTTGAAGTTCTCGCCTCTATGGCTGTCAATTCTTGCATTAGTCCTTCGTGGCAACTCTCACGGGAGGGTCAAGTCCTGACAATATGTTCGGGACAGAATAACGGAGACATGGTAAAGCTTGGGTTTAAGGAGTGTCCTGGATACTTTCCCTTTAAGTACTTCATATGTGGTTTGATAAACTTTTATAAAGTTTTCGAAATTCATTTTCATTAGTCTTTTCTTTAGAAACACTATAACGCAGCACTGCTACTTCATACTGTTTTCACAATCACTTTAACACGAGAATCATTAATTAAAAGACTGCACACTTTGTAAAAAGGAAGAAGCACAACATCTCTGAGATTTAGTAAAAACAAAGTTGTTTTTGAGAAAATTATCAAATTAAAACTACCAGAAAGTCTACCATGCAATTCAAGTTTAACAAAGACAGTTTTGTATTTTGGTATCTTGAGTGGAAACGTTCATATTTAGAAACTTTCAGAAGTGCAAATTTCCAATGTGAATTGGCGATTAATTTTTGGGAGGTTCGTGGGAGATTGTAGTGGTGGGTTGGTGAGTGGAAGGGGGTCAGGTAGGTGGACTGCGATACTGTCGATCACTTTTGCCTGGGCAATTTGATCCACATTGACAGACCCATGGTAGTGACAGAAGCGCCACCAATTGGAATTCTCTCACCCTCAGCTGCCGATCTCCGAAGAATCGAAATGTGACATTAGCTTTACCTTCTCCCTGTACACAGCATCCTTAGCCATGTCATACTTCACGCCATGCGGCTGTCCCAGGTTCAAACAATTTAGTAGGCTATTTTAATCGTCTGAAGTGACATCAATTTCCTCGGGACTTCCCGATCCTTGTTTTGTTGCAAGTCTCCATCGGTTTATGTGATGGGTCCCCTTCTTCTTCTGTTGCGAATCTGAACCCTCCTCCTCCAACTTTTGCCGTTTGAACTTGGTTCTTCGGTTCTGAAACCACACTTTTACCTAAGGGAAACAAATAAAGGCTAGAATAAATTCACAAATACTAAAGAAAAACCATCCATGTGCGCAAAGTGTGAATTCAAATGGCAGAACAGCAAAAGATACAAGCATAGGCTATAATAGGAGCGGCAGGTAGCTTAGTGGTTAAGAGCGTAGTGCCAGTAACCGAAAGGTCGCTGGTTCTAATCCCCGAGCCGACTAGGTGAAAAATCTGTCGATGTGCCCTTGAGCAAGGCCCTTAACCCTAATTGCTCCTGTAAATCGCTCTGGATAAGAGCGTCTGCTAAATGATTAAAATGTAATGTAAATGTAAAGGCCTTACATTTTTCCATAGGCTCTCATAGATTTTCACACGGCAATTTGACCAATGCTATGGCACTAAAGGTTTTACATTATAGGCTAGAAGTACGGTTATTTTCAAGAGAAAATGGGATAAAGGTAAAAAACGGCATGCATGCTCTAGGTCTATATTAGTTATAGCCTAGTATAAACATAAGCCAATATACCAGAAATTGACGTCCCTAAGCGTATTGGTCGAAAAAAACCATGATGCAAACATGGCCATGGATATGCAATTGCTTAAATATGTTTAATTTAATTTATAATAATTTTAAACAATTGTTAAAATCCACATTGCTTATTTATAAACCTGTTAATTTTAAGCCTTTTCTAAATGCATGTCAATAGGCTACAGTGGGCTATATTCATATCTACAAGCCATTCGTCCGACAGCTTGGCAAGTGAGGTGCATTTAATGTGCTTTCAGTCAGCTAATTGAAGTGGGCGATGGTTCATTTCTTCCTCATTCCCCTCTAATAGCCTCCGTTTAGAGAAGAGCCGGTGGTGACACTGGGACAAAAGACACCGACCGTTCTGCAAGCTGATAGGCACAAATACGATCTTAAATATGGCCAGGGAAATTCATTGAGTCCGGCTCATTCTTTTTAGCGTGCCATAGATCCTATAAAATGGTTAACTGGTTAATTGCCCTCCATTTTGAATGGGAACCTTTTTTTCTCAACCCCGCCTAAAACGAGGTTGTAGCCTATGATCATGGATTTGCTCCAACTAAAGCTTCAATGCCAATGGTGTAGCCTATACATATATTTTTGTGTCTCTCTAAAACTGCGGGTTACTCGTTAATCCAATAGTGATTTGGAGAAATTAAAACAAACGTTTATTAATTTTTATCGTTTCCCCCCTTCATTTCAATTCTTAAATTAGGCCTACTTTCTCAGACATTCGATATGACCAAAACACAGTAAATATGCATTTAGGCCTACATGTGAAATTCATATATTTTACTTGCTATATGGATTGGGTCTAGGTCTATATTTAACCATACACTCTTAGAATTGTGTTTATTTGGGGTTCTAGAACCATTTGGTTCAGTGAAAAATAACCATACAAAAGGGTTCTATAGGCCTATAGAAGTTTTAGGGGTTCCATATATAAAGCAAGCGATATAACCCTTTTTGGTTCTAGGCGATATGGAACCTTTCTTCTAAGTGTGGCATTTGTGCAGTTTCCCCCAATAGACAACATATGATCGTGTTTTCAATATATTTTTAATAATTCCCCTAATGTCACTTATAGCCTATGCAATGAGAACTTTGAATTTCCAATAAGTAGCCTAATTATTCAGAGAAAATGTAGCATATTCCAGATTCCGTAGCCTACACCAAAACAGTTGTTATAGTACTATAGCCTTACAGGCATATAGGCTATAAAACACCCCTTGAAACCTACTCCCAAAACCTGTGGGTCATGACAGGTCTGATGCAACTTGACATGATAGTATTTTAAATCCATTCCCTATTCAAAGTAGGCCTAATGCGGATTTAACGATAAACTTGTGAATATTAAATTCAGGGAAATATTTTCTTACCTGAGTTTCTGTGAGGCTAAGGGTGTGCGCAAGCTGTTTTCGTTCGGCACCTACGACGTAATGGTTTTTTTCAAATGCGTGCTCAAGCCGCAGAAGTTGCGAAGGTGAAAAAGCTGTCCGAATTCTTTTGGGCTTTCTGGCCAGTGCATTGTGCAAAAGGAAGCTCTCCGGGCTTGTTTCGTTACCTGAAAACGACAATGGGAGGGATATTCATTATGAACACTTATCTTGCAGACTGAGGCTAAAGAGATGATGATGCTATGATCATATTTTGGCTATACCGTAGACTTGAGTCTTCTTACTTTTAGCTAAAGTCTACGGCAACACTCAATTGAACATTGAGACCAATTTAGTCACAGCAACACCTATACATTTTTTTTCCCGACAGCAATCATTTAAACAATAGCAAATTGATACAGTTTATAGTCTTCAAATGGCAACGATAGGGTTATGCAGTAGCTAATTAAGTGGCGATTCTATCCAGTCTTTCGTTATCGTATAAACACACATGGAAAATAGCAACACAATGGTCTACAATAGCCTATAGGCTACCCCTTTTCAAACTTGTATTTTCTACATTACAGTCACTGGTAGGCTATAATGTAAGTATATGGTGGAGAATAAAACAGGCTACATTAAGCCTACATTTGTCTTAATTATTATTAATTATTAGCAAGACACTTATTAAAATAACCATTATTCGTTCCAAATGAAAATAGATCGTTCAGTTGGACCTACTATACAATTTGCATGTCTCAGATAAATATAATGTGCATGCACCAGCATAAAATATAATGTTTTCAAATGACAGTCCAATTCGGGGGCCTATAAATTAATAGTGCGATTTAAAAAGTGCATAGTGTACAATTTCGTAAACAGCAGTTTCGGCCTTAAAAACATAGCCCACAAATATGACCCATGGCATCTTCCATGGCACAGACGATTGCAATAAATTACACAGGCTTCTATCAATGTAGTTTAGTTGATTTACACTCAATTTAAACACACAAATATTTAAAAGAAAAGGAAGTAATAACTAATTAAAACATTATTTTTCTACCATTTTGTTCAAAATAACAAGCCAATTAATGATATAGATCTACAATATCGATTTGTACGGTGTTATGCTTATTTTTGTTTCAATAAAATGTTTTAGATGCTAAATGAATTTTTAAAAATCCACTCTTTGCAATTCCTTTAACAACATGTAAATGATAGGCTACAGGCAAAATAATTGTGAACCCGTGTAGCCACATTAAGAAATACTATGCCCTACATTACTGAAAGTAGTCTATTCCAGTTGAACCGTTCTAATTAGCCTATAAACAGACAAAAACTGTTTAAAAAATTGTTCAAGACACTACATTTAAATATTATATATATATATATATATATATATTCGATAGCTCACTGATATTTACATCACTATAGCGTTCGTGTCTTTATCCTCATTAATACATTTTATATAGGCTACAGTTAGCGAGAAATGCTATTGAAAATCCAAAAGGGCTAAACAGTATCAATCCGTAATAAATACGTCAAAGAGACAAATGCGATCTCAACCTACCTTGGAATCTGTGACCCAAGTACCTATATCTATGTATTAGCCATGGGTAAAAAGTTGAGGGGTCCCTTTGCTGGCTGGCAAAAAGAGGGTGCGGACTATGCGAGGATGAAAGTGGGTGAGCCAACGCGTGTGGAGGGGGCACCGAATGAACTGGGACACCGGAGTTGTTATGATGTGAGACCGCCTCAGCAAACACCAAGTCCGGATTAGAGTAGACGCCCCTGCCGCTGGAATGAAACCCGTTCAGAAATGGATTCATCTGGCTGGAGTTTGCATAGCTCAGAGCCGCTGGTCGTATGGGCTCCTCAGACCTCGACACTGGTAGAGGATTATCCTTCGCTACCAACGATTCTATGGTAAAACACCGCTTCGGTGTAGGTTGAAACATAGTTTGATAGTCAAGATTCCCCAGCTTAGAATTTAAGAGGTGCAGGCGTTCTTCGTAAAAATAGGCTACTACTCCACACCGAGAAAGTTTGTCAGCATAAATAACTTTGGAACGAAGAGTGCAGCAAGAATAGAAGCCAAAGTAACAACAAATCAATGAATAGCCATAAAGGTGGTCGACTGCGCCAGACAATCCATGGATGTGATCGGTTCCTCACAGTTGTGCAAGCGATTTGTTAGTTCATGAGCTTAATTAGCGCTGGAGTCACATAAACAGCTTCCTCTGAAGCCTGTAATGGCATGGTGATTGGTCGCTGCTACTCGCCTTAAGGTTGAGGGAAGAGTCTTTAAGTGCGTCAATAGGAACAGGCACGGAGAGGCGGACTCGAGCAGAACGGAAGGGATTCGTTCAGAACCAGATCTTCAGGACATTTTACATACCCAGCTGAACCAGTAGAAAAGCTCAAGGTACTTACGTTTGCATTTATGTCTACCAATAAGGCCTGAGGACACTTGGTCTTAAAGGGGCCTTATATTATCAGTGTTGATTTTTATGTTGAAGTATAGTGCTAAGAGTCGGTGTAACATTTATTGACATAAGTGTGATAAATTCTTAGTATAAAATGTTGCCTACAAACCATTGACCTGGGTGTGTTTACTCATAGCAACCACATAGTGTTGTTTAAATAAGGGTCTACCATTTTACATTTAGGCCTACCTTTAAATTCCATTTTTATTTTCCATTATTATGGTACTTCCATCATACCCCACCATATACCCTGGCATCGTCTTTCCGTGTTTTCATTTTCTCCAATCCGTTTGTGATTAGTCAGGGATTGAGGGCTCCCCAATTTCTATTGGCCAGAATATTGGGATAATGGATATTGGATCCACACGACGTTCAGTGCAGTTCGTTTGTCGTATTGACACATCAACTAACGACCTATTAATTTAGGACTACGTAGGCCTACATTAGCCTACACACAACCTTTTAATAGGCCTACCTGCTCTGGTGCAAGTCCAATATTCACTGATGAAAATTATATAATTGGTAATTTGATGTTTACAAAGTCTGTACTATAACAATAAAGCCAATCGTAATGTATAACCTAGTATGTACCGCAATAGACTTACAGTGATATATTCATTATTTTGCTATTGCTGAATTCCATGAAAATACGTATGATGTTTTCATAATCCAATAAAGTTGCACTGTTGGAATAAGATAACTCTGTTCTTAACTGTAGGTTTTTAGTCATTGTCATTATTATAAAGCCCATCTTCGGTGACCCACAAGTGTAAGAAAATGCTATGGGGTGTGAGTCCAAATCTGCCCGGGCTACATGACTTAGTAGCCTAACTTTGTTTGCAATGTTCTACTGTTTATATCTACGAGGCCAATCCCTCCCGCATTATTACAAGCGCATGACAATGATGGTACAATTATTATAAATACAAACAAAACCATAAAACATTGTTAAGATTATTATGATTATGTATATGATTATTAATTATTAATTATATTATGCCGAGGTTACACTCTAAGATTTACTTTGTATTTTGTATTTATATTTATTATGGATCCCCATACTCTTCCTGGGGTCCAGCAAAACTCAGGCAGTTATACAATTTTAAAAACATTACAATACATTAATAATAGATTTCACAACACACTAAGTGTGTGCTCTCAGGCCCCTACTCCACTACCACATATCTACAACACAAAATCCATGTGTATAGTGCGTATGTTATCATGTGTGTGTATGCATGTGTCTGTGCCCACAGTCCCGTGTAGCTCAGTTGGTAGAGCATGGTGTTTGCAACGTCAGGGTTGTGGGTTCGTTTCCCAAGGGGGAAAAGTATGAAAAAAAAATGTATGCACTCACTAACTGTAAGTCGCTCTGGATAAGAGCGTCTGCTAAATAACTCAAATGTAAATGTAAAAATGTGCCTATGTTTGTGTTGCTTCACAGTCCCCGCTGTTCCATAAGGTGTAATTTTACCTGTTTTTAAAATCTGATTATACTGCTTGCATCAGTTACCTGATCCATGTAGTCATGGCTCTATACTGTGCGCCTCCCATAGTCTGTTCTGGACTTTGGGACTGTGAAGAGACCTCTGGTGGCATGTCTTGTGGGGTGTGCATGAGTGTCTGAGCTGTGTGCTAGTCGTTTAAACAGACAGCTCGGTGCTTTCAATATGTCAATAGTGATGTCCACTTTGAGCCAGGAGAGATTGACATGCATATTATTAATGTTTGCTCTCTGTGTACATCCAAGGGCCAGCTGTGCTGCCCAGTTCTGAGCCATTTGCAATTTTCCTTTAAATTATATCTGAAAGATTTCGAAGGTTGACTTCAGTTGAACTCATTTTACGTCGGGACACCTCATGATAGTAGGCAACAGTGCCAAGTCTGTTGCATTTCAATTGACTAATGATAGCAGAATGGTAGCCATGGCTTGTACGTGAAAACTGAGATGATGGAAACTTTACTGAAGTCAGCAAGCATTGTGTTATATTAATCAATTACAACCCCAATAAGCATTTGTTTGCACACTGATCATACAACATCGCACCATTCATTGTAGGCCATTGTCTCCTTGCGTAGTAATATTCACTGTTTCACTCCGTGGACAGTGTCTTTGAAAACGTCCTGTGCATATAGGCCTTGATTTACATTTTACATCTGCTGTAGGCCTATGTATCATGTTGGCCTGTCTTACTCAATGGGGAAACTGACGTTTTGTAATGACAGACTGATCAACAGTAGGCTAATGCATTTACTACAGCACTAAGGCAGAATATGAGTATAATACAATAATAATAACAATTATTATTATTATTATTATCATCATTATTATGAGTTCATCCGTATTAGTGTTACATCAATTATAATATTAATAGCCGTATAACAATACACGCCCTTATTTATTTAGTAGGCCTCACGAATAACTGTGGGTCTACTCAGTTAGACCTACTTTAGTGAATTGATGCAAGATAAAACAATTTTACAACATAGCAAGATCCCGCTTATATTACACTGGTCTCATTCTTTGTATAGTTTCTTATTTTAATCCATCCAATGAACCAGGGATGAAGGAGAGTTCCTCATGGGCTGTTCAAAAGTGCGTCACCTATAGGTAGAGTTGTCAATGCAACATATTTAGGCCTACATATGCGGATAATCGTTTGTTTATTGGCGATTTTAAAAAATCTGTATTTTCAGTTGCAGTCTTTTCAGTTGCATATCTGTTTGTAAAGATTATTATCAAAAACTCACTGGTTTTTCTTTACAGCATCCGTCACGTATTGTGCGGGCGTCCTCTCGGTTTTAACCAATATTCAGTCATGGTGCGCTGCCGGCCTCAAGTGGACGTCTTGTGAAAGTGCGCGTGAATTAGGCTATTAGTAGGCTTTTACACCGTTATTAGAATGGTGTAGCCTAACTATTCTTTGCGAATGCTTTAAGTGTGTTAATTTCAGTTACAGGAAGCAAGTGAGAAAAATAGTTTAACTATGTCTTCGAAGTTGTCCTCGTCGAGAAACGTATGGTGTCATTGCTTTGTATAGACATTTCTGATATAAACCTATTTACTGCCCATAAATATGTGTAAATATGAAGTATTTCACATAGTAGGCCGAGGCTAGATCTCTAACTATTTTCCAAAAATAATAAAGTGATTGTTGAGTCAACTTTTTAACATAGGCTATGTTGCATTGACATAGCTAAACTGTAAGGTCACTATAATTTCATATCTTTCCATGTTCATTACATTTAAACGGATGAAAATAGCTGTTGAGTAATAATTACAAGCCACACTTTTTGGAGATAGCCAACAATTTTGGCATAATGCATAATGACTATGCCTATTGAAAAATTACCACGCGTAAAATAATGTTGAATGATAAGGTGCGTGGGTAAAGTAGGACTAGTAGGCCTAAACGTGCATAGCCTATAAATTATCCATTTTTCTATAGACTAAATGTTAAACTAATACGCTATATCATTTGCACGCTGTTACATTTTTGAAAACTAATTCTGTCGATGAAAACAAAATAAGATAACAAATTTGCCAATAACTTTGCCTATCTTCATAGCCCTAATATTGTAGATTTTGATCGGTCGTGATTTACGAAAAATAAAGAGTGTGTGTGTGTGTATGTGTTGAATAATCTTTACACATTTGACAGCCCTTTTAATGCTGCAGTAGCTATAGGCTACAAGGCATAGGCCTTTCTCAAGCCATCTTGAAAACTATGTTAGGCCTATATTTTATAAATTTTCTTATTAGCTATTTTCGTATTGGCAAAAGTATTCAGATCCCTTGTATTTCTTCACATTTGATTGTGTTACAAAGTGGGATTAAAATTGATTTAATTGTACTTTTTTTGTCAACAATATACACAAAATACTCTGTAATGTCAAAGAGGAAGAATAATTTAAACATTTTTTAAAGATGAATAAAAAACTAGAAAAAGTACATTTCCTGAAGAAAATGTAGTGTGCTTGCTAGCATGTTTTAAAGTATTTATGGTTCTGAAATATGTTATAGTAGTGGTAGTGACTGCAGTAGTAATGATAGTGACTGGTTCTAGTTGAAAAAGTAAGTAGATGTAAAAAATGATTGATTGGCTTGGATAGGATAGCCTGAACATGAGAAAGTTGGTTTGGTGCCTCTAGCTTGAACGGTTCATTTTTGTGCCAGAACACTATAATAATAATAATAATATGCCATTTAGCAGACGCTTTTATCCAAAGCGACTTACAGTCATGCGTGCATACATTTTTACGTATGGGTGGTCCCGGGGATCGAACCCACTACCCTGGCGTTACAAGCGCCATGCTCTACCAATTGAACACTCACCACACATCTACTATCAAGGTGGAGAGGTGAGGAGTGATATATTTTACATTTACGTCATTTAGCAGACGCTCTTATCCAGAGCGACTTACAAATTGGTGCATTCACCTTATAGCCAGTGGGATAACCACTTTACAAT